CAGAGGGAACAAGCAAAAAATTTTGTAAAAGTGACACATTTTTTAACTGGAGAGGCAGTAAAATTACTCGAGAAATATTTAAATGCGTTGAAATGCGAGTAAATTAGGCCCAGATGGGTCTTTTTGTTGTGAGAAAAAAATGTGAAATTCATTTTTGAAATGAGCAATCCCTAAGTTTTCCAAAAATTCTACTTTTTGAAAATTTCGAAATAAAAAAATTTGCTGCGGTATAATTTAAAATAATTTCCCCCAATAAAACTTTTACGGTGTCGTACGTGTTACTTGCATGCACGGGAAGGCTGAATTTGAATTTGCGGGGTCATACTTGGGCGGGGAAGATTTCCCTGAATTTTCAGCTTCCTAGCTTTAGTGGTTCCCGTGTTAAAAGTTGCGGACAAGATGCGTCGGACACACACACACACACACGCACAGACAACCTCGTGACAATATGCGCCCTGTGCGGCTGTTGTACAGCAAAAAAATGCATAATGAGTCTGATTGGGAAGCGTTTATTTGTTCCATATATTAGTCCGAATTGCCTCAAAACGTGGTTTTGGCCTAATACGAGAAGTGTGTGTGTGTGTGTGTGTGTGTATGCATGCATATATGTATGTATTTATGTATGTATATATGTGTGTATATGTATAACTTATTTATGTATGTATGGTATGTATGTATGTATGTATGTATGTATGTATGTATGTATGTATGTATGTATGATGTATGTATGTACTTATTTATTTATGTATGTAAACGTTTACTGGTTTTACAAGAAACAAATTGAGAGCAAGTGGTGCGAAGGGCGTATTCATATTGACATGCAGTTTGGAAAAGTTATCAGATTACATCTACAATAAATTATATCAGAATGTGCAAGGTATTTTAATAATAAAACGTCTGAAAAACTGAAAATAAAGATGCCCAGAAATCCGCTAAAGCTTCACTTCTGTGACGAGTGATTGAGTCGCCGAAACCTGAAAATTTCGAGTGCAGCTCATTCTTGTCCATTTACAGAACTGAAAAGCATGTACCGTTAGTCTAGGAATCTTTTATTCTAAAAAAAAAAAAAAAAAACGTTTCCTACATGACCAAATAAAAAAAATACGTCAAGGCTTGAAAATAT